TGACTCCCTAGATAACTGGGTGCAGACTGGTGCAACTGAGGATATCTCTTATTCTTTTTCTTTTCAAGATTTCTTCTGAATCCCTTCATTCACAGACATTAGAACACTTAATGGGTTCTTAGTATCACTTAACATTTAACTTTTAAGTAAATCTTACGAATACCAGCTACATCATAATTTTCCTATGCAACCTTAGCTTCTATACCTCTCCACGTGCAACTCTTAGGTAGAGGAAAAAAGACTCAAGTAAGGAGCGAAATTGCGGAAGCGTGTTACTTGGGAGGGAACATAAATGGTTAACCAAGGCCATTGAGATCTCTCCTCCAGTGGTTAGTGAGGGTATTATATGCTTGCTAATGTGGTGCTTTTGTTCAACTAATCAAAACAGGTGTGCCTTTCCAGGCTGGACATTTTAAAAGCACTTGGGCTTTGTTCTGCCTTTTCTCGTTTATATGAGAGAAAAGTAAAAAGACAGGACTGATTAAAAAGAGAGGGCAAAATGGGGAGTGGAGCAGGTGATACATTTCAGAGGTTGGCTAAGGAAACTCCAAGAATATCAGTAGTGTTTGAGGTCATGAGCATTTGAATATACATCTATCCCTCAAAAGATAGTCCCTCAGTCTGAGCCAACATTTTTTATTATTTAGTGGGAATGCTGACACATAACTATCTGTTATGCTACGCACGAAATTCTTTATTATTCCGCCGGGTTATTTTGCGCTATTCAGACTGTCTCAGCCTATTCTTTCCCCTCTGATGGAGACTTCATACTAACTTCAACATGTTCCACATATTTTAGACATTATTGGTAACGTATGCTTTTAGTCCTAAAGTATTCAGTTCAAATATTCTGCTGGTTTTTCATGCATTTAGACTTTTATTTTCTTGTTCTTATTTCACATTCAAGTCCCCTCTATTCATGAACCCTTTAAAGTACTCAGCCACACCACTTATATACCACATACAAGGTTGCTTGTTTGATTCAAGCTCTTGTAGTCAAATATGTCAAGGTTTTTATCCATAATATTTTATCAGCTAACTAATGACACACACTCAGAGGATCTTTATAAACCAGCGATGCACTACAGTGTCAGCTTTTCTAAAATAGATACTTCAATGTTCACATCTTTCTAAATAATTCTACTTTTCAATGACCTACAAATAATCCTAATAATAATCCCATTTTCAATCTTCCAACTGTTCATATTTTTTGGTCAATTAAAGGTGGGGTAGGTAATTTTGGAGAAACCAGCTCGAGTGCGCTAGAATTTGAAAATATACAGTCGGAAAAAATCTGCCACTTCCTTACAGAGCCCCTCCTCCAACACACACGAACGCGCACATGACCAATGAGGACACGAGATAAGTTTGTGCACAGATGGAAGGCTGACAGGAAGGTAGGCCATCCAGTTATTTTAGCCGGGCCGGCTAAAATGATTGGTCGTGCTTTTTAGAGTACTACGGCTTCCACAGATGACATTTTTTTAATGGATTTTTTGTCAAAGCACTTAAGATATTCATTGCTATCGGGATGTTGAAAGTATTCCATGGAATATAACAAAAAGTGTATCTCGAGCCGGTTTCTCAAACTTACCTACCCCACCTTTAACAAACCTGTTACAAATGTGTTGTTCAACAAATTTGAGCCTTTGCCACATTTATTTGATCACCATGGAAACCTTTGATCTCTGGACACGTCGTTAGCTCAAATATAAACACCTGCGTCATGGAACACGATGATGTCATAGATCCAACTGACATGCTCAGAGCAGCAGACTTCAGATAATGGTTAATGGTCCTGCCCTCAACAGCTCTACGTCGATTATGGGGTGTCATCATATGCCGTTTCCATAAAACACATCCCTCGCCATAAAACACGATGTTGCTGTAACTCCAATGTACACGGTTCGATCGTTCCCCCAAACTTTGCTTGTATATCACCGGTCCATGCCTCAATAGCTTTACACCAAATCTGAGATTTCACCATACGCTGTTGCCATGGAAACGCATCCCTCGCCATAAAACACGATGGCGCTGTAGCTCCAATGGACACGGTCCGGTCGTCCCACAATCTTCACCTGTGTATCACCTGTCCATGCCTCAACAGCTCTACGTCAAATCTGACATCTCACCATATGCCATTTCTATGGAAACGCATCCCTCACCATAAAACACGATGTTGTCGTAACGCCTAAGAAAAGGGTCAAAACAGCACCACATTTCAGATAATGGTTAACGGTCCAGCCCTCAACAGCTCTACGTCAATTATGGGGTTTCATCATATGCCATTTCCATGGAAACGCATCCCTCGCCATAAAAGACAATGTCGCTATAACTCCTATGAAAATGTTCAAAAAGTGCTCAAAA